GTTTAACCCATAGCGCCACCCGCGTCCCTTTTTAACAAAGTAGTGTAGTTTTAAAACTTCTAGATCTTCTCAAAACGTATGCCAAGTTTTTACTGATGCTTTTATTGTGCAAAATTAAGGCTGCTGTCCTCAAGCTCAGGTATTTTCTGTGTGTCAATGAAGCTGTTTGCAGATTTTCTTGAAGGTTGTATATTGGCTGCTCTTACTGTTGAAGCAATGAGAAGTATTTGGAATTGAACAGTGCTTATCTTCCTTTCACAGTGTGATCTGCTGCAGTCCTCTCCTCCCTCCCTCTCTGTATTCATATAGGCCCTGGTTTGCATGTCACTTTAAACCCTAGTTTAAAATAAAGTATGATTCAAGATGAACCCACATTTCATTCCTCCACAGTTCCTTCCTTTAGAGCGCTGGGGAGGAAACAAGAGAGCAGACTTTGGCTTACTGCTTGTGGTTTGGGGGGAAAAAACTGGAGGAGTTGGTCTGCATGCGACAGAAAGTAAGTCTGTTCTCCGATTCCTTCCCAAGAGTGCTGAAGGAAGGAGCAAGGTGGGCCCTCATCTTAAATCACAGTTTGTTTTACTTTGTGGTTTAAAGTGACATGTGGACCAGGCTAGCATTTTCTTTGATTGCAGCTGAATTTGAGACAACTAAAGCACTCAAAAGATATTAAAAATACAATTTTTGGAAATTCCTATCCTGGATGACTAGCATTCAATGTGCATTGCAGTGTGAGAAAATAGAAGAACTGGATTACCTCTCTTACCCACCCTTCAAATGTTTTTTGGAATTTCATACTTCTGAATGAAAATTATTATCCTGTTCTCACAGGAGATGTGCCCTTTCCTCAGTTCTCTCTCAGCCTTTCCATGACCGCTTATTTTCTTCCTTGCCATTGTTGCTCCCTTCACAACCCATGAGGAATCCTCTATTTATACTTGTACTGTTTTGATAACACATTTCACACTGGGCTGGGTTCAGGCTTCTCCAAGCTGATCTGCCTTATCGTGTGAAGATGAAGGAGAGATTATCTGTTCTCTCTATCTTCCACCCCTACCCACCTCTATCCAGGCAGTCAGTCTTTGTACATATTAGCTAATGCACAGCAGCAGTTAATTCCCAGAAAACATCTAGGCCATTGATGTGCAGTTGAGGCCTAGGTGTGTTGGATATTACATGCACAGGCCAACTTCAGACATGCTAGCCCCACAGAGATGTTTGATGCCTGCAGAAGGGATCCAAGTGTGCTGGGTGCCTGGGAAGCACAGGCGATCTATTGCTCATAAAACATAACAAAAACATAAAACACAAACATTAGCAACCAGTGAAATGGGTTTCTACAAGGTAAGATGTAGTGATTACAACAAGAGACCTTATTGAGCTGATGGCTAATGGAACTGCCAAGCAGGGGCAAAGCAACTGCTTACAGTGGTACCTCAGGTTAAGTACTTAATTTATTCCGGAGGTCCGTTCTTAACCTGAAAAAGTTCTTAACCTGAAGCACCACTTTAGTTAATGGGGCCTCCTCCTGCTGCTGCGCTGCCAGAGCACGATTTCTGTTCTCATCCTGAAGCAAAGTTCTTAACCTGAAGCACCATTTCTGGATTAGCAGAGTTTGTAACCTGAAGCATATGTAACCTGAAGCATATGTAACCCGAGGTACCACTGTATATGTATTTCTGAAGACCTGGGCCACTCCCACACTCAATGTGATTGGCTGTCTAAACTCCCAAGCTGCGAATCGTAACCCAGAATTTAATAGCCTATACCAGTAGCCCAAACCTTGACAATGCTACGTGATTGGATATCATGTATCTCCTCAGAATCCTAGTCCAGACTCAAACTCACAGAGCACTGCATACTTTATATATCAACTAGTAAAATAGTGTGCTACATGTTAGCAGAAGTAGAACAGTCTCATTCAGATTAAAAAGGGCTTCACCTTTGTTCTTTTTTGTGTGTCTGCAAACTAAGATGCATACACTTGCTAAAGATAATGAACCAAACGTATGCAATGTTACAGTAAACATAACATGCTTCATCTTGTTATGTATATATGATACAAGAAAGTCATGGTATGCTTATTTGTATTTTTTGTAAAACCCAACAAAAAGTTATACAAAAGGAAGGCATCACCTAGCATTAAAAATACACAAGTTGGAGAGAGAGAGGATCAAAGATCTGTCCACCAATATTGGACAGGGGCTTGCAGAATTGGATGATAACTTTCAGAGAAGATTGTTGCATTTTATGTTTAAACGCTGGCAGTCACTAAAAGTGTGGTGCTCATAATAAAATGACTGCTGTTGGCAAAGCTAATATTGTAGGGAGTGTGTTTGGGTTGAACAGCTCAGCCATGTGAGAAGGCTAAAGGAAAGGGCTGATCTTGTCAGCCTGTGTCAAAGCATACAGGAGACAGAAAGACTATCTGAGCTAGTTAATCAAGTATGACAGTAATTCTTGTAGTAAACATATCATTTAAGCAGGCATGTTTTATTGCTGTGGTGCGATGTGAACCATTGTGAAAACAGAATCCTCCTGTTATTGGCAAGAAATGATAGCTGAATAGTGAAATGTAAGTGGTGACCTGCAAAAATTCACTTTGTGACAGATCCCATCCTTCCCTGTATTCTTCCCTTCTCTCTGCATATACTACTCTCCTGGTATGCCCTGCGGAGGACCATAAGGTCCACAAATGACAACACTTTGGAGGTCCCAAGTCGCAAGGTGGTTAGACTGGTCTCAACTAGGGCCAGGGTCTTTTCGGTACTGGCCCAGACTTGATGGAATGCTCTGTCACAAGAGACTAGGGCCCTGCGGGACTGGACATGTTTCTGCAGGGCCTGCAAGACAAAGCTGTTCTGCCTGGCCTTTGGTTTGGACTCAGTCTGACCCTTATGATTGCCTCCCCTTATGGTTTTGCTCTGTGGGCTACTATTAAAATGAGGCTGCATTTTAAATTGTATTTTAACCTGTATTTTAAATTTGTTCCCCCCCCCCATTATGTTTTTATTGTAATTTTACTGGTGTTAGCCACCCTGAGCCCGACTCTGACCGGGGAGGGCGGGGTATAAATAAAAATTATTATTATTATTATTATTATTATTTATTTACTAAGTGCTTTAGGGCACTTGCAGAGTCATAAGCAGGGTCCTCACTCAAGCCAGCAGATCTCCCAAAAAGTCCTGTTGGTGTGAGACTATAGGATGGCTGGGTGATGGATAAGAATAGATGATCCCTGCACTTTTGTCCCATCTGCTCTCTAAAAGCACACACATGAATGTGTATGAACACATTCACACACACAAGTCAATGCCCACCTATGCACATACAGATTTGCATGCATTTGTGTGCATGCGCTTCATTCACGGTGGAAGGAAGAAGGAAGCAAAGAAGGAATCAGGCTCCCTCCTCCACTTCTCACAGTAGAGCCTGCTGATTCCTGGCTCTATACATGCTTTATTGTGTAAGTTATTCTGCAGTTTTAGGAACCGGTCCAGAATGCTTCCACTGCATGCAGGAGCCTGGTGTTGTTCAACCTTACAATGGCTCCAAAAATTATACACAGTCATACCTCAGAAATCAAATGCCTTGCGAGTCGAACGTTTTGGCTCCTGAAAGTCGCAAACCCGGAAGTGAGTGTTCTAGTTTGCAAACGTTCTTTGGAACCCAAACATCTGACATGGGTTCCACAGCTTCCAATTGGCTGCAGGGGCCTCCTGCAGCCAATCGGAAGCCACGCCTTGGTTTCCGGATGCTTTAGAGGTCGAACAGACTTCTAGAACAGATTCCGTTTGACTTCCGAGGTACGAGTGCACTTCACATTTTCCCCGGTTCTAAACCAAATGTTGAATATATCTGTTTGTTTGTTTTATGTAAATTGGATACATATGCTTTAGTTTCAGTTCAAAATTAGAAGCACTAAGATATTTGTAGTTGCAAGCACAAATAAATATTTGCAGCTACTGCTACAAATCTAAATTTAGAAGTTAAAACATTTTAACCAAATTTCGGCAGATGTGTTTGGCAATTAAAGATTATTAAGGGATAAGGTGAGACACTTAAGAAGAAAATGGAAGGCAGAAATTCAATAATGTTCTTCTCAACATTTTAATTGTCATTTAAAAATCCTCTTATTGAGGATTTGTAAAGGAAAATTATATAGCTATTCATTCAAAAGAATCCAGATTATGTTTTTCACATTTATTTTTTAAGCACTGATTAGCGAACAGAAGCTTATCATCCTCATCATCATCATCAAGGAAAGAATTACATTTGATCTTTATAAATCTAGTAAGATGCTCTGTTATTTGAACTGCGATCAGGGAAGGGGGAATTTCCAGTGACTGCACTATTTGTCAGATCAGAAACACTCTTATGCTGCTGGTTTAGTATGTTTCTTCTTCCACCAAACCATTCATTATTAGAAGACATTTGCTAGATACATGCCTTTAGCTTACAACAGAAGATGATTCTGTTATTCAAGATTTTAAAGTGGCAGCTTGTATGTTACCTGAAGTGAACAGGAGGGGAAAAGACACAACATCAGGACAACATATTGTCTCTTGCCTCCTACTGTCTGACAAATAGTGCAGAAAATGTGGCACTTGAACATTTTTGGAGAAACGCTTCTCTCCCTCTTTGACTATTTGATCTCACTCTCAAGCTAGGTGAGAAATCTATAAGAAGGTTGTCACAGAAAATGTTGATGCCTTTGATCATGAAGCAGAAGCAAGGATGTGCTCCCAGAGAAAAGTACAATGCACTTATTCTCCAAATGGTCGATAGTATTTTGTGGGAGTTTTCTCTGCACCAGTCTTCAGCATCTCCATGTGGAAACCTCGAGCAGCAATATTCTACAAAAAATATGTGCATTGTATAGAAGCCAGCAATAAAGGGTGCAGTCCAGTGCTCAAGATACACTGCTAGCATGAAGGATACACTAAGATAATGGCCAAACAACTTGTATAGAAGAGTAATGGGCAGTATAGAGAAGGAGACCCTTACACTGGCCTATGGTGGAAGCAGTATCTGCTGTACAATTTGTCATCCACTGCTATGAGGCTGGTGGCTCTTGCAACTGCCATGTGACTGGCACTGGCCATAGAAGCTGCTGCTGCTGCTGCTGCTCCTCCTCCTCCTCCTCCTTCTTCTTCTTCTTCTTCTTCTTCTTCTTCTTCTTCTTCTTCTGATTTTGCTGGAAGAAGGAATTTGCTGCCAAGGAGTGTGGTGGAGTCTCCTTCTTTGGAGGTCTTTAAGCAGAGGCTTGACAACCATATGTCAGGAGTGCTCTGATGGTGCTTCCTGCTTGGCAGGGGGTTGGACTCGATGGCCCTTGTGGTCTCTTCCAACTCTATGATTCTATGATTCTATGATTCTTCTCTGGCTTGTGGACCTCAGGGCTTCCCTGCCCTGTTTTGTGGGGGGTGGAGCCTGCCTTCCTAAAGCCACAGAGGGGCTACTCATGAGCTGAAGGAAGGAGGATGTTGAAGACCATGTCTGTATGGTACCAGTCAGAGAAAATAGGCCTTCCTGTCTACTCCCACAGTTGGGGCAAGGATACCAATAGGGTGGTACTGAGCAGCCTGTGGGACTACCAATGCCCATGCTTCCAGTGGAAGCCCATATTGTGCTTCTACCAGCTGCAGAGCTGAGCAACAGAGTGATCATGACTTCTTCATGCCATCCTTGCCAATAATAATGATGATGGTGATGATGATGATGATAAATGATGATGACTGGCAGCAGCTCTTCAGGGTTTCAGGCAGGCATCACTCTAAACCCCACGTGGGGATGCTTGGGATTGAACCTTGGACCTTCTGCTTGCAAGTCAAGCCAAAACAAACACAGCCTTTTAATTTCATCCTCATCATGATCTACTATATTAATCACTATTTTACCAAGGCTCTTTTTTTGGTGTAATGCTGATGGAGAGCCATATGTTGAACTTGACTGATGACAAGAAGACTGAAGGTTTTTTCATTAATCTTCACCGCTTCTGTTTAATTAACTTCTTCTTGAGAAAAACAATAAAGAACATGTGTATTGCAGCATTTTAATAAGTTCTTGAGTCTTCTTGTCCTTGAATGTGTGACAATGGTGAATGAACTCTGTCCTTAAAAAACACACACCCATAAGTATAATTTAAGAAAAGGATGGAGGTTCAGGGGAATATCATTCCCACCTTTCCCCCAATGCTTTATTTTATTTAACAAGAGAAATGCTAGACACAAAAGAGCATTCAATAGAAATAAAGCAGCAGAATAGGCTTTAAAATCAATGAGAATAACAAACTCTTGAAGTCAGGGGTTGCTGGAGTTTCAAGATGTTCTGCGTAATACTGATGTATATAATACTGGATTTAGTCCATACAAGACAGCTTCTTGTGTTCCCTATACCTGTTTCCCCCAAATCCATAAGCATAGCCATTGTCTATAGGACAATTGTTTTTAAGGGTGTGGCCAGACACAGCAGGAAATTTAGGTGACTGCAAGGATATGAAAACAGGCTCCCTTGCTCCCTCCCTCTTCCTGGGTGAATCTGTTACTCTCATTTTATTATTTTTCCAATATTATATCCAGTTCTCCACATTTCCATACCAGTTTGGGATTCTTTTTTTAAACCCTCATGGATATTCACCAGCATTTTAGTGTACATTTATCCAATATACACATTTTTGTATGCAATTTTCCCTAGAAGATATACATTGTTGCAAAAGAGTTTGCTCAAATATAATGCATTTTATATGCTGTTGCATGTAATATGTGCATTATTGCATGTTATTGTATGCAATATATGCATTTTATCTTCACTTTACACTAGTATAAGCATTTTTGAACACATTACTTGACTGGAGAACTACCATGCAGAAGTGAGATAAATGCAAATTTCAAAGGCTAGCTTTGTTTCAGTTTGCATATTTTTTTCAGAAAGTGCAGATTTGGTAAGTTTGTCTTTAAATGCAAACTAAATTGAATTTCTTCCTACTCCCTATCATACTCAGATTCTGTTCCAATAATACTGCTTATGTCTTTTAAAATATACATTTGTAGTACTGATAGAAAATTATTTTGCTGTCTGTTGTAGAGCAAAAAAGTAGGGTTTGAAAGGCAGACTAAATTTACAGAACATTTGACAAACACTGCACTACCTACTTAGCTAAAGGATTGATGAATGCATTTGTGTGTCACTGCAATACAGAAAGATCTATATTTCTTACTTTATGAGAGACCACCAACTTTGTTAAAGCTTATGGCAGCTATAAGAGCCGTGTAAGGTGCTTGGCAAGAACAATATTATGAATAGATTACTATCTCAGCCCTACATTCTGTTTAGAATGCTTGTGTGGGTGGATGTAACCCATGTTTTTCATTATTGGTGTGTATACAGTGGTGCCTCGCAAGACGAAATTAATTCGTTCCGCAAGTTTTTTCTTCTTGCGAGTTTTTCGTCTTGCGATGCACGGTTTCCCATAGGAATGCATTGAAAATCAATTAATGCGTTCCTAGGGAAACCGACTTCAGACCAGGTCCGGGGGACAGACTGTCCCCGGACCTCTTCTGAAGGCTGGGGGGGACAAGGGCTTTTCTTCCCACTCCACCCCAGCATTTTAAAAACCCCGGGACAGCGGAGGGCTTCTCCGCTGTCCGGGGCGATCTTAAAATGCTGGCGGGCGGCATTCTAAAATTGCCCCGGGACAGCGGAGGACTTCTCCGCTGTCCGGGGCAATTCAAAGCCCCTGGGAAGGCAGGCAGGGGGACAAAGACTTTTGCCCCCGCCAGCCTTCAGAAGAGGTCCTGGACCTCTTCTGAAGGTTGGCGGGGGCGAAAGTCTTGTCCCCCCACCTGCCTTCAAAAGCTGTCCAGCCAAGGCTTCGCGGACCTCTCCGCAAGCAGCGGCAGCACTGCCGCTGCTTGCGGAGAGTTGCCGGCATGCCGAAGCCTGCGCGCGCTGAGATCAGCGCGCCCAGGCTTCGCGGACCTCTCCGCGAGCAGCGGCAGCGCTGCCGCTGCTTGCGGAGAGTTGCCGGCATGCCGAAGCCTGCGCGCGCTGAGATCAGCGCGCCCAGGCTTCGCGGACCTCTCCGCGAGCAGCGGCAGCGCTGCCGCTGCTTGCGGAGAGTTGCCGGCATGCCGAAGCCTGCGCGCGCTGAGATCAGCGCGCCCAGGCTCCGCGGACCTCTCCGCGAGCTGCGGCCGCGCTGCCGCTGCTTGCGGAGAGTTGCCGGCATGCCGAAGCCTGCGCGCGCTGAGATCAGCGCGCCCAGGCTTCGCGGACCTCTCCTGCCTTCAAAAGCCGTCCGGGATAGCGGGAAGCGCTTCCCTGCTATCCCGGACTGCTTTTAAAATGCTGGCGGTGGGGAGCAAAGCCTTTCGGCCCCCGCCAGCCGTCCTGGGCCTCGTATGAAGGCCGGAGGGGGGGGGGGGAGGCGTTGCTCCCCACCGCTAGCAGTTAAAAGAGGTCCCCGGAGATTTCCCTATGGGCTTTCGTCTTGCGAAGCAAGCCCATAGGGAAATTCGTTTTGCGAAGCGCCTCCAAAACGGAAAACCCTTTCGTCTAGCGGGTTTTCCGTCTTGCGAGGCGTTCGTCTTGCGGGGCACCACTGTAGTTATATTTAGGTTATTTTAAGGGAACGGCCACATTCAGCTGAGCTTGCTTACTGATGATGAGCTGAAATTATTCTTCAAAGTTTATGCCAATTTATTTAAGTCTCCAGCTCAGCAAGAAGTCAAATGTAATCAGGAACAAAACAGTGCCTTTTCGTGCGGGTGAGGAGGAGACTGGGAGCAGGCAGTCTCTGCATAATTTGTTAAATGATTGAAATATATGCACAAGTTGATGTCTGCTAATTTCTTGTTCAGCAATCTAAACAGGCCCCCGATTTGGGCAAAGACTTGTCTGGCTTTCCCTTTCTGAGGAAGATTTCACAAACCTTGTTTATTTTTTTGTACACACACACACACACAGACACACACGTGTTTTTATTATCCAATCTTAAGCCTCTTTTCTTCACTCCTTCCCACTGTCTCCTCACTTGCCTAATTCCCCCCCCCCCACGCGTGTAGCGCTCTTATCTAAACCACTGAGCCTCTTGGGCTTGCCGATCAGAAGGTTGGCAGTTCGAATCCCCGCGATGGGGTGAGCTCCCGTTGCTCTGTCCCAGCAGTTTGAAAGCACACCAGTGGAAGCAGATAAATGGGTACTGCTGGGGTGGGAAGGTAAATGGCGTTTCTGTGCGCTCTGGTTTCCATCACGGTGTTCTGTTGCGCCAGAAGTGGTTTAGTCATGCTGGCCACATGACCCAGAAAGCTGTCTGTGGACAAACTCCGGCTCCCTCTGCCTGAAAGTGAGATGAGCACCTCAAACCCATAGTTGCCTTTGATTGGGCTTAACCATCCAGGGGTCCTTTACCTTACCTTTACCTCCCCCTACCATGCCATACCCTCTTTGGGCTCATCCACACTTGCCTTTTGTCTTGCTGGTCTGTGCCCAAGTGGTTTATTTTATTTTATTTTACCCCACCACTTTCCCCAGAAAAACCTGCTCTTTAACACTGAATAAGAACAAATAGCAATTCGGGTTTTCCACGGATAGTCATTTCCTCTGATTCAGCAGTAAAGAGCAGGTTTTCTCCAGTTGGAAAACCACTGGGGCAAAAAATATATAGCACTTGGACAGGGAGCTTTAAAGTGTGGACCTGTGTCTAGAAATATAGCACAAAACAATGCAGGAATCCTGCTCACACCCATCCCTGGGTGGGCTTGAATCACCAATCTTCTGGTTAAGAGCCAGACACACTGACCCAATGAGCCACCTGAGATGTGCCCTTTGTTGTGCTGGTCTCAGCACTAGCAACTCCCTGCATGCTTAGTAAAGGAGGCTGGCAGATGGAGATGTTCAGGAATGGGAGGAGGGAAGGTATGTGTCTCGCCACTGAGAGCAAAGGGCCAGAGGAGGTGTTGAAGCAATTAGAAAGTGAGATAAAAGGTATAATAGATAAGAAAAAATAAAATAAAAATAATGATGTATTGGAATAAAAAGGGGATAAAAGAGGAAATCTGTTATGGGAGGAAGAAGTGAATGTAAAAGGATCAGGGGTTTTGGATAAAAGGTACTGGCAGCTTGGGTGGTGGTACCAATAAGGTATAAATTGAGTGTGAAACGAGAACGAGAGAAGAAATTAAAGGAGATGGAGAAAAAAACATACTTCTAAGAGGCATGTGGGGAAAATATAAAAGAAATTTCTTTTATACATCAGAATTTCTAGATCAGCAAATTCTGCCTAAAATGAGAAGGTGGAGTCACAATGCCTCCAGAGCAAATGCTTAGCTTAAGGAAAGCTGAAGTACGGAACTCCTTGCAGCATGAAAAACATTGTGGCAAATTATTTAGTAGTTCCAAAGATGGATAAGATAAGAATATAAAGTGGTGTCAGTAATTGCCAGCTGGTGCTGCCAAAAAGTGCCTGCACCTAATGCCGTTTTGTGACTGGTGGGCCTCAGTATTTTTCGGTCATCTCAAGTGGGCCTTGAAAGTAGAACATCTGATAATCTTGGGTGTAGACAATCCTGAGGTAGATACCAAATCAGGACCAGTGGATTTACTTGGTATAAGGCATCTTCCTAGGTTCCTATCCAGACCAGTTTCCTTGGATCCAGCTTCAAACATGGGTAATTTGCGGAAGGGGTGGTGGTGAATTTCTGCTCAAGGAAGTCATGTGTTGGTCCAATAACAATGGCATAAGAACTGTCCTACTGCTGCCAACCTCAATATCTTCAGATACAAAGTCCCCCTTCCCTTATCCTGTTTCATGACTGCGTGCTAGTAAATAGTGAAACCAAGCTGTATATCTACATCAGGTGCCAACAAGAGCATTTCCATTTCCTCTTTTTCTTCTCTTCTTCTTCAAACCCATGGGTAGGCAAACTAAGGCCCGGGGGCCAGATCCGGCCCAATCCCCTTCTAAATCCGGTCTGTGGACAGTCCGGGAATCAGCTTGTTTTTACATGAGTAGAAAATGTCATTTTATTTAGCATGCATCTCTGAGTTAATTGTGGGGCATAGGAATTTGTTCATTCCCCCCCACCAAAAGAATATATAGTCCGGCCCCCCACAAGGTCTGAGGGACAGTGGACCGGCCCCCTGCTGAAAAAGTTTGCTGACCCCCTGATCAAACCTCTCACTCTCTTTTTCTCCTGACTTGGTTGCATGTGCTCTTTTCCGTTTGTTCCATCTTAGCTCCAGTGTAAGTAAGTCACTGACTCTCAGTTCCTTCTAAAAGGTAAAGGACCCCTGAACATTAAGTCCAGTCACGGACGACTCTGGGGTTGTGCGCTCATCTCATTCTATAGGCCGAGGGAGCCGCTGTTTGTCCGCAGACAGCTTCCGGACACTGCGAACCAGAGCAGTGCATGGAAACGCCGTTTAGCTTCCTGCCAGAGCGGTACCTATTTATCCACCTGCATTTTGACGTGCTTTCCTCCTAGCAGTTCCTCCTAGCTACTGCTTAAAACTTTTAAAATTATGTATAAAGTCTGCTAACCCTAGACACTATCATATAAGCAGGTTAATGTAAAAAGATGTACCAATTGATTAAAACCTAATCTAACACAATGAACTGTTATTGGTAAACACTGAAAATAAAATAAAAAAGCTTTAATTTTTATTTTATATAGTCTTTTTTTGAAACAGAGCCCAGAAGAGAAAGGAACGCCAATTCAATGCTTTTAGATTTTTAATTAATAAAGGTCATTGCACCTCTGCAACTCAGGATTTTAATGGCTTCTTTGTGCATTCCCACAGAAGATGTCTTAGGAGTCAGTTCAAATATTGAACAAGGCATGTGAAACAGCATATTCCACCTCAGATAGGCAGGTGGGGGTCACTAGTTCAAGGCAATCCCATATCACAGAATCTATGCATGCACAAAAGTAGCACATCAGGAAGACAAGGGGCTTAAAAGCCTACTTCCTCACCTGCATGGAGATTTTGACATGAAAGCTGTTTTTAAACAAGCAGTCTTCCAGGGTTTTACATCTAAGCTGCAAAGTTCTCATGAAGACGGTTGTCGCTGTTAAATGTTTGAACTGGTTGCCAGCATGTGCGAGATCAGCTGAATGGATTCAATAAGAAATATATTCTAACCATTTCTGAAAGGCAGTGCTTAAACTACTTCAGGTCCTCAGTTGAAGTAAAGGGCAACTAAAGACTAGTTTCTAATAAGAGCTATTCCTAGTCTTCTGAAGAACCAAAGTAGTAGTTTGAAAAGCTTCTCTGATTGTCTGAAAGCTTACTGCTTTCTACTCTAAACCCTCTTTTTAAACTTCACATAAGATAATTAAACAAAAAACCATAATAACACCACACTCTGCATATTGACATAATCTGTTAATCCAAACAGAAGAATTTCAGGGAACCACCTACTATTTCACTGCAACCTGTGTAACATTTTTCATAATTTGATCTTTATTCATATCTGCCGCCCTTAACGCTGCTTTAAATTGTATGCACGGGGAGGGGAACAATAGATCCTTGTGATAGCACATGACTGTCACTCAGCTGCTACCAGGGCAGTGTTGAATTCAAGGTACAACTACATCTCTTTGGTACAAATGAGGCCTGGGTCAATTGTGACCTCTACATTTGCCACATTATTTAACTATGGCATCAATCTATAGTCAGGCATCAACCCATTTTAAAGTCTACTGGCACATTTATGAGTTTCATCTGAAAATTATGAATAGTCCTTTCAGTTAGAACGTTTTAAATGCATGCATAATTTTTCTTAAAGGTTCTTAAGAAACCTTGCTATTGGGACACTTGCTATTGGAACTTTTGTTCAAAGTTATTCAAAGAGTAACCTAAGACTTGGAGCATGCCAGCTCCAAGATAGGTGTTGTTGTTGTTTAGTTGTTTAGTCGTGTCCAACTCTTCGTGACCCCATGGGCCAGAGCAACCAGGCACTCCTGTCTTCCACTGCCTCCCACAGTTTGGTCAAACTTATGTTGGTAGCTTCGAGAACACTGTCCAACCATCTCATCCTCTGTCGTCCCCTTCTCCTTGTGCCCTCACTTTCCCAACATCAGGGTCTTTTCCAGGGAGTCTTCTCTTCTCGTGAGGTGGCCAAAGTATTGGAGCCCCAGGTTCAGGATCTGTCCTTCCATTGAGCACTCAGGGTTGATTTCCTTCAGAATGGATAGGTTTGATCTTCTTGCAGTCCATGGGACTCTC